AAAAATAAAGATTTCTTTGTCTTTGCAGATTGGCTTTGTGCTATGACAGTCCTTCGTTTATTAGTCAGGCTTGTACTCATTTGAGTGGTCAACTTAACTTGGAAACTTAAGGTTTTCTCAGTTTCTTCCTGATCATGCAGCTTGTCTTGGGCATGTGCATGGCCTTCCACTTCCCCTGTATATCTTGGTGCTTTTGAATGTCCTAATTTCCCCCAAAATTTTTCATAAGCTGTTGCTCCCAGGCCTTATGTGGTCTATTTTATGTTTCAGTTGTAATCTTTGCCCCAGTCTTCTGCGTTTGTTTGGCTTACAGTGTTTTGTCAAGCAATGCCCACCATCTTTTTTTTTTTTTTAGTTAAATGCAAAAGAGATGAGTATCTTAAGTCCTTCAAAATAGAACAGATTTACACAATTATTTGCAAGTATGATTGGTTCTGCTGCCCCTGGAACCTCCAGATACTAGGTTCTCGTGCTGGGAACTGGTTTTCCCCTTCAGAACTGCTGCTGCACAGGGGAGGGGCTAAGGCAAGGGCAAGTAAAAATGCCACAAAGCTTTCAAGCTGCCTTTCTTAATTCATTGTTCATTTGTTCTTTGTAAATATTTCACTATTTACCAGAGTTGTTCCAAAGTTGTTTTCAGTGCTTGCTTTCAATGTTTCTGAGGGAGGATAATTTGGAGTTGTATATTCCACCACTCTATTGATGTAACTGCTTTCTTTTTTAACGAATTCTATTAATGATTTAATAGGAATAACAAAAATTTTATTTTCTTAAGTTAAAATTGTCCACTCGAAATTTACTTATTTAAGATAGTTTCTATGCATTTCTGTTTTATATCTGAGTTTTTGTTATCTAAAAAATAATTTGAAAATATTACATAGAGAGCTAAATAAGACCTTTAAATCATCAGAATGTAGATAGACAACAATAGAGAAAATGGAAAATTACTAAATACACAGATTTTCTGTATTTACTTGAGTGCTGGTTGTTAGACCTAATGAGGGGTCCTGGATTTTAGCATAAATAAATTGTCTGGAGAGATTGTTGTTTACCTGATTCCTGAGATGAATCAGTGTGGCTACTGTCTTCACAAATGATGCTGAGTCTTATGCTTTGCCTTGACCTTTGTCAACATATGAATATACTTAATTCATAGATTTTTAGAAAATCATTACTTAAAATGGGATTGTAAATGTAACTAAAACTTTTCAGTTGTAATACCAGTTCATTTAAAAGACATAAAAGGTTTTATAGGTCTTTATACTAACATTTGTACCATCTTTTCCTGTCACAACTGAAATGTGGTTACCCATAGCTTTATTTTCAGTGTGAACCAGATCTTTTTCCCCCTCTTACTATTAAATATTCATCACACATACTTGGTGACATTTCTTTTACAATGCAGAGATAAACCCTTTTTATTATGTAATAGTTAACAGAATTCATACCTAGTGTGACGTGATACCTAAAATTTGATGTCTTTTAGATGTGCACCAAAGACACGATTGACTTCATGTGCTCATTCACAGCAATGTGCTGGTTCTTTTTAACCTAACCTAGCTTAAAATCTCTGGTTCTCCTTTCATTAAGCAGATATTTGTGCATAAAAAGCACCATAGAATCTCTTGTAAACTTTCATTTAGTGTGATCTAACAGTGCACAGATAGATGCTATAAGTGTCCTTCACTAAACATGACTGCAGTAAATGCTAAAACTGAGAAAGGAATTAGATTTTCATATTTTGAAATATGTCAACACTATACATATTTTTGGCTTAATAAGTTAGATATAGGTGTATTAGAAATTACTAGTGAAAAATACTGTGCTCTCTGTATCCTCATACGAAATAAGCATTCTAATTGTGAATATTATGAACTCATTTTACAAACTTACCACTAACAAGAAATAAATGTGTTATGTAAATTTCAAACTGTAATGGTCCCAAGAATTAATGAACTATTTCTATAAATATATAATGTTGAACAATGTTATATTATATAGTAACACAATATGTATGTTATATATTATATATAATGTATGCATTAAAAATTTACTCAGTTAATAAATCCAGATTATTTTATTGATTAGTTTATGTTAAATATTGAAATACCTTTAAAATCACAATTGTACTTTAAATATTTACTTTATTGTTAATAAGCAAGTGAAAGGAAGCCTGTTATCTCAACATTTAAGTATTTGTGTTCTTGGATCATTTAAAGGTTTTTGTGTAAGATTACTTTAATAATGTATTTGTGTGTGTGTCTGTGAGAAAGAGAGAGAAAGAGTGTTATAAAAACAACCTATGCATCCTTGTTAACAGTACTGCTTCTACCTGGTAACTTAGTTCTAGAATCAAGAACAACTAAAACCATTATATTAAACTCTCTTGCACCCTCTGTTGTTATTTTTAGGGAACACTACACATACTTTCCCATGATTATTAGCATTAGACTTATTAAAATCCCTGATAAAATTAATACTTAGTTTATTATACTTTACCTCAAAATTAGGTTATAGTAAAGTAATATTTGTTTTTAATTCTTATTTGTTATTTCTTGTGTTATAGATATGTTTTTATTGTAAAGCAGCTTCTAAATGAAAGATGAGCCTTTCTGTTTGTCTTTGATTTTTCCTACTAACGCCTCCAAATGTTTCAAACAAATGAAAGTCTCCATAGGATATAGCACACTCTATATACAATTTTCCAGAATTACAAATTCCGTCTGTGTTTTTGTAAACCTTTCAATTGTCAGACAATATTCTTCCAAAATAAGAGTCTAGAATCGTCCATACTAAAATTAAGAATTTATAACTGTCAGGAACAGATGTTTTCATAAACATTTGCTATAATTAATTTCAACTAGAGGATTGAAGGAACAACGCGGTTTTTCCCACTTCAAAACTTTATTGCCTTTTCTTCGTATAGCAAACTCTGAAATCTTTTCTCTAATATTGTTTAGAGAAACAATTGTACTCCTTATTTAGTATGTTTTTGAGAAAGAAAAACTGCCTTTTCCTCTTATTACCAGGCTTTGAAATAACATTTAATGTGATATATTAATTTCAAAGCAGGTATAAAATGAAGAACACTTTTGTAATGTATTATGACAAAACCTAGGTTTGTTTTTTTTAAAACTATAAGTCTTATTTGAAGGATTTTATATTTGATCTGTAAATATCAGCAAAAGGCAAGAAATGTTCCATTGGTGAGATTTTATATATTTAAGTAATCATGATCTTTAATTTGAAAGAGAAAGAAGGCTCATATATTTCAATATATGATGTACTTATTCTATGCTGATTATAGAGTGTTTCACAGGAAATGTCTGCAAGCTGTTAAATAACATGTGTTGTAGGAAATTTTCATTTAGCAAGACAGAGACTAATTTTCCTTAACATTTTTTATTTATTGTAAAACTATTAATTTTTAAAGGAAATGAAGTATATTGAATGAGTCAATTTACAGTACCCATATTTTCAAAGATTTAACAAAGTATACCGACCTAGAATGATCTTAACTGTTCTTTATTTTCTTCTATTATAATTATCAACATTTTTGAGCCCTATGATCCTTTTTAGGATTTTTGTTTAATCGAAGAAATCTGAAAGTACATTTTGAAAATACAGGGATAAAAGTACAAGTGGGCTCTGTCTAGTTCTCATCCTCCTAAAACTTGGGTGCAGCTGCAGAGATTTTGAAGAGAATCAGCATTCTTGACTAATCTGTCAACTATAAAATGTGTAAATAAAAATATGTAGCTGTCATTAAAATTACATTTCAGCTTTCAATAACCATTTAATGAGTGGCATAATTATATAAGTATGGTACCTTAAATACTATACTCAATAATTAAAAATAATCTCATCTTTAAAGTGAAAGCTCGGTAATTACTATTTGACTTAACCAGGACCACTGTGATGATCTCCAGTGGCACCTTAGGTTGTTCAAAGTGGATTAAAAGTATAAATTAAAATTGGATGTATCAGTAAATTATTAAGCTTTAAATATCATAAAAATGAATATAACCTGGAGTTTGGAAGTTACATTACAGGAATTAGGAGTATAAAATGTAATCAGATTCCAGTCTTCTTAATTTGTTTCTAAAAATAAATATGTTTTATAGTAGTATACTGTGGTTTCATAAAACTATACTTTGAAGTATGTATTTAAAAATTTAAACTATTAAAATAGTCAATAAGAATATGTATATTGTGGCATTGGTGAGCATTTTTAAACTCCTTTAGCAAATCTATTTTTCTTCTATAATTTTAAACTGATAGGTATGAATTTGTTCTAAATCTGATTTTATGAGTATACCAGTTTCTTGAGAGAAAATGTCTTTTTTTCCCCTAAATGTTTTTGATATTACCACATGAGGCAGAAATACTTTTCGATGTTATTTTTTTCATTTTTTAAACTGCTGAACTTTTGCCCACAGTTAAAACCTAAAGCTTTGGGAAGAATATTAAGATGTATTTAAAGCTCACTAGAATACATTATTATTCACCACCTCCCAATTCTGCTTTCTGTTTTACTTCTGTGTTTACCAAATTTTTAGATAGGGTGAACTGGGGGCTGGAAACATTCCAGTTTTGCTCTCTGCCTGTTCTCTTTGACTGTGCCCAGTGATCAGGGAGGGTGACTTGGTCACTAACAAAAAGTTGCCCTTTGTTGATTAAGTGCTTTCTTTATAAATATCGGCTTGCCTGTGATGCATAAGAAGAAAATACCTGTACCGTACTTCATTTGTTCCTGTTAGCAGTCACTTTGTCAGTATTCCTATCCAAGTTAGAAACAGTGGTGTTGGTTATTTTTTAGCATCAGTATAAGTATTTGGCCTCATGGGCTCTGATTATAAAATACATTTTGGGGGACGGATAAGGGGATATCCGCCTTTTGATCCAACATACTGCATAGGACTCTCACATAGTAGCTTTTCAACTGAAATATTCAGTTTTCTAATATCCATTATTTCAGTGTTTTTAACTTTTTTTTTCAGGGGACTCAAATAAAAATGGAAGAAGAACAAGTTCTACTTTAGATTCTGATGGGACTTTTAATTCCTATAGGTAGGTGATGAATACATAGATATGTAATATTACAAGACAATGTACAAAATAACTAATCTTACGGGACTCTAACCTTAGAGTAGTAAGGAACTGCTACCTTTACTTTAAAATTATGACAAATGTAAAGAATATTAAGATATGATTGTTCTGCAGATTTATTGAGTAATGGAAAATGCAACATTCTCAATTCTTGCATGAATGGACTTATTGTAGATATCTGTTGTTAACCTATGTTAGGATAATTGGAATGAATATATGTATAGTATTAAGCTTCATTATAATCCTTTTTTTTGGTTCCAGTATATCTTTGATAGTACTAAAGGCTTTTTTTTTGTTTTTGTTTAAGTTTTCGGCTAAAATGTAGAGTACTGTTTATAAGCAATAGAAAATGTATAGAGTATGAAATGTAATCTGTGGTTACTTTAAGTGCTGTTTGTTAATATCCTGTTTGGCTTGTCAGCAAACAGGGTAGTTATGGTCTCAATTAGTGAATTTTAAAAAGGATACACTAGTTAAGAAAGTAATGTATTTTATCTAGTCTTTTGTTAATACATATTCTCCTTTTAACTTGAATTTGCTGGAGTCTTTATGGAATTTGTACCTTCATAACAGAGAAACCTAGAAAGAAGAAAGAGTAAAGTATTTCCAGCAATATTGGAAAATTTATATAGTGAACTAAAATGATATAAGAACTAGGTTTACTTTTTGAGGAAAAAGTACAGATTCAATAATAGTACATTTTGGCATTATAGATAGCAAAGCAGATTGTTGAATAAATAATTGGAGTACACTGTCCTTATGGTTAATTGGTTCTGATACTTGTGTAATGACACTATAAAATATATGCAAGAACCATTGTACGCTTGGAAGCTCATTTGAATGTTAAGCTGTCATTCTTTTTATATAATAAATATGGAATTTATGCTTAGAATTTTTATATTTTTATTTGCATACATACTCTATATCTCTAATGGGAACTGTATTATTTGTTTCCTCAGATCCCAGGCAAGCTTTTAACATCTAGAGTAGGGACTAGTATACAGGAAGCACTTAATAAGAATATAGTAAATGTGAAATTTTTTACAATTGGTTTATGAATTCCAAAAAATGAGCTGGTAATTGAAACACTTGACATCTTTATTTTGTACCGGTTGGGGTCTGTATAAATAACCAGTTGCTCTAGTGTCATGGATACTACAAAAGGCTTGTGTTCCCACAGTGTTCTAGAAGGTATTATCACAGCAGTCAAGCTCATATGTTGTCATTATATTTTCACGGTATCTGTCCTAGCTTATAAATGTTAGAATTCTCCAAATCCTCCTTTTAGTGCTGAAGTGTGATATAAACTTGGAATTTGACATATTAAATAATAGGTAGAATCCTCTATCTGAACATGTTGTAGCTGATCACTTCAAATAAAAAGGAGACTATAAATGATAGTTAAGTAAAGATTCATGAGTTGGCATGTAACTGAGGAATGTTAATATGATAATTCATGTGAAATCTATGGTGGTGATATTATTAGATATAAATACAATAAAAAATAACCAAGACAAAATGGAAATAAAGATATATTTCAAAGGAAGGAAAATCTATATGTATATAAATTTTGTTGGTGAAATATATTTTACATTACATTTATAGTTTAGCTAATTATTGTAAATAATGGACATAATGTAAAATTAAGAGAAATGTGTTAATGTGAATGCATAGTATTTGCAATTTATTGTCTTCTTGAATAGTTTGAAGATTAAAGGATCTTAGTTTTATTGAATGATAATTATATTTTGAAAATGAACTTCTAATGCAACTTTGCACAATAAATACTAGGTTGTTAACTAATATATTTTTAATCAATGCCTGTCAGTGTTGTAATGTTAGGATATTAATTTATTATTGTAATTAAAAAGGCAAGATAAAAAGCTCAGGTGGTACAGTATATAAAAACAAGCTTTTAATAGTTGGCAGGCCAGTGCTGTTATTAAATAGTATTATAGTATTTAAGGTGTGAAATGAATATTTTTCTATTCAGTAGGCAATAGTTCTTACAATATAATGAGCTTACTTGTGAATTTGACACTTGGGTTAAATGCAGAATTCATAGAAGCACAGCTCTGGGGTATATTTTCATATTAAGTCTAACTGATAAAACCAAGGAATTGTTGCAAAATCACAGTACAATGGCAACAGAATTGTCAGTAAAATTTACTTTTGAAAATGAAAATGATTTTTTTCCTGCCATCATAGCTCTTTTAAACTAACTAGAAATAGGTCATTGGAAAAATGTTAATATTCCAACCCTCAAACATCCTAACAATTGTACCTTTGTATATTGCTTAAAATGCCTCAGAAATCCTGACCTTCCTTCACAGCTAAATAGTTCTGGCTGTCAGCCTGGTATGAACACACTCAAGCTGCATATACTTGTGTCCAGGATAATGATCAGCCTTAGTTTGTCATCTGTTAAATGGATTCTGCCTTGTCACAGCTGTTTTAAAGACTGAGATAAAATGTCTAAGATAAAGCTTTTGGAAAATCTAAAGGCAAAGCATGGCATCATTATTATTCTTTTATGCTTACCTCATGTAAATTGTCAACTTTGTAGCCTTAGTCCTCTTTTAACCCTTTTATTGCATACTAGAGGCTCGGTGCACGAAAATTCATGCACTGGTGTGTGTGTGTGTGTTCCCTCAGCCCAGCCTGCCCCCTCTCACAGTCTGGGAGCCCTCAGGGGATGTCCTACTGATGTTCTAAACAGCAGTCTGGCCTCCCTCTGCTCGAGGCGACCAGGAGGATCAGGGGAAGGCGCCGCCCCCATTACCTCACTGCTGCTGCCAAAGCTGGCCACCATGGTTGAGGACCCTCAGCCCTCACTTCTTAGCACTGGCCCCGCCCCCTGCCCACTTGTGGGGGAGGCGGTCTGCAGCCAGGCTGGCTGGGGGAGGGGCTGTGGGAGGTTGAGGCACCGTGAGTCGCACCCTGTCCAGCCTCTGGAGGCTCTGGACCGCAGTGCCACCGCCGCTCCCAGTGCCGCCTCTGCGGAAGGAGGGGCCCAGAAGGAGGGGCCGCATGGCTGCCAGCCATTGGCCCTTGCAGCCGCTGTGGCTTTGTCCAGAAGGACATCCGGTCTAATTAGCATATTACCCTTTTATTAGTATAGATGCCGAGGTTTTATTAACTTTTGAATTGGTCACCTAAACCTATATTTTTCCATTGTTTCTTTTAACTTGGTCCTAAATTTTCAGATTCAAGAGGACACAGTCGCCATTTTCTTATTGTTGTTGTTTTTTAATGTTTTTTAAAAATATGTTTTTATTCATTTTACAGAGAGAGAGGAAGAAAGAGGGAGAGAGAGAAACATTAATTAGCTGTCTCCTGCATGTCCCTTACTGGGGACTGAGCCCCAAAACCTGGTCATGTGCCCTGATTGGAAATCAAACTGGCAACCTCTCAGTGCATGGGATGACGTTCAAGTCACATTGGCCAGAACTGTTTTGTTTTGTTTTGTTTTGTTTTGTTTTGTTTTGTTTTGTTTTTGTTAGTAATATCTAAACACTGTGAGTTGGTTCAAATCCTGACTCCAAATACTTTGGAGACTTTGGACAAGTTTCAGCCTCACTTTCCTTATCTTTAAAATGGGAATAATAAAACACAATTATGAGGAGTCAATGGGATAATGTCACGTGGTAAATGCTAAATTTCAAAATATTAACTGGTTTTAGCTTGTCATCATTTTGGTAACAGAGAAATTTTTTATATGCTCCAATATAAAGATACCAAAAAGAAGACTTAAAAAAGATTTGTCTTATAGGAAAATAACTTTTGTCTGTTAGCAGAAAGCTAAGAACAAGCTTATTACCCTGAGGCTTAAAACTCTCAATCTCTGATACACATTGCCTTTGTATAGCAAAATTGTACACATAGTAAAGATGAAAGGAAGATGTTTTACTATTAGTGTAAGTTCAGAGATGGATTTTTGGAATTTTGACAAAAAATTTTGAAGTTTAAAATTGATGGACCCTAATCCATAGCTTTGTGCCTAAATGTTCATAGATTTGTTTTTCATAGGCTAGGAGTTTTTCTTGGTGTTTGTGTCTTTTATTGTTTTGCTTCATTGATTCAAGATAGAATATAGCTGCATTTAACTCCTAAGGCACCAGTATGATTGCCATCTGATGCCTGGGTAATAGACTAGATCTTGTTTTGGAAGTTTTTGTTAAAAATTGATTGCATATGTCCTAAGTAATTTGCAGATGGCTGATTAAAATGGAAAACGAGTAAGAATTGAGAAGATATTATTGCTTTATGCTTTAGATCTTATAATTTTGGGAGGAGACCAGTTTTAATGTTTTCTGTCAGATGATATGAGCTTTCCATTTTCCTTATAAAACCATTAAAACTGAGAGACTCCTTGCTGGGTATGAAAGAAAAGTAGTTTGCTGATTAACAGTTTGCAATAGATGTTTAACTAAGTGACTGTAGCACAAGGCCACATGATAGAAGGAATACTCTCTCACTACCACACTGCCCCCTTTTCCCAAAGGCAGCTGACCTTCTCCTCTGCAAAGAGGCAAGCCCCTTGCCAGCATATATGACTAGAGACTATTACATTAATCTGTTTAGCTGTAGTACCAGCTGCTTGCATGTTTTTAATTATCATATTAGGTGGTATAACAGTGACCTATGAAATAAACTGAAGGTGAACATTTTAAAATGTTCTTTTTTATGTTATGTTCTAAATATCTTTATTGATCAAATTATAACTCTCTCCAAAGGTTCATGGGAAGTCTGTATGGTTTTTGAGGCATTGTAATGCTTTTTAAAAGTATGTCATAATTCCAATATAGGAAATAACTTCATTTTTGTCTCATTAGATGGTATTGATATAGCCACAAATATTTGTTAAAATTCATTAGTTTAATAGACAATTTGTTAGAGAAAACTCAGTCCAGTTATTGGTATTCTCTGGGAAACTCAAAGTAATGTTTCATTTCCAGACA